GGACCAGTATAGGTCGATAGAAACCAGTATGGGCCAGTAGGGACCAGTATAAACCAGTATGGGTTGATAGAAACCAGTATGGACCAGTATGGATCATTAGAAACCAGTAGGGACCAGTAGGGACCAGTATAAACCAGTATGGGTCGACAGAAACCAGTATGGACCAGTATAAACCAGTATGGGTTGATAGAAACCAGTAGGGACCAGTAGCGACCAGTATGGGTCGATAGAAACCAGTAGGGACCAGTATAAACCAGTATGGGTCGTTAGAAACCAGTATGGGTCATTAGAAACCAGTAGGGACTGGTACAGACCAGTATAAACCAGTATGGGTCGACAGAAACCAGTAAGGACCAGTATGGACCAGTACGGACCAGTATGGTTGATAGAAACCAATAGGGACCAGTACGGACCAGTATAAACCAGTATGGGTCGATAGAAACCAGTATGGACCAGTAGCGACCAGTATGGGTCGATAGAAACCAGTATGGACCAGTATGGACCAGTATAAACCAGTATAGGCCAGTAACAACCAGTACAGACCAGTATAGACCAGTACAACCGGTATAAACCAGTATAAACCAATATAACCAGTATAAACCAGTACCCACCAGTATAAACCAGTACTGGGTGATTTTGGGGTGATTTGGGGTGATTTTGGATCATTTTTTGTGAATTTGATCATTTTGGCTGATTTTGGGCTGATTTTGGGGTGATTTTGGGTCATTTTGGCTGATTATGGGGTGATTTTTTGATCATTTTGGCTGATTTTGGGGTGATTTTGGGGTGATTTTGGATCATTTCAGGTGATTTTGGGGTGATTTTTGGGTCATTTTGGCTGGTTTTGGGGTGATTTTGGGTCATTTTGTGTCATTTTGGCTGATTTTGGGGTGATTTGGGGGGATTTTGGGTATTTTGAGTGAATTTTGGCTGATTTTGGGGTGATTTTGGCTGATTTTGGGTCATTTTGGCTGATTTTGGGCTGATTTTGGGGTGATTTTTGATCATTTTGGGGTGATTTGGGGGTGATTTTGGG